CTCTCTCTCTCTCTCTCTCTCTCTCTCTCTCTCTCTCGGCGCGACCAGTCTTAAAAAGGACAAGATTTTTTGCGGGACGTCGTATAAATTAATCTGATTATGCAGAATCCCATTTCCCGCTCGTCCCGAAACACCCATATATCGAAATAATCCCCGATTATTCGTTCCCCGATTATCCTTTTTTCTTTTCCTTTTTTTACAAACCCCATCCTCGTGTATAAATAAAGCGGTACCGAAATTGCCTCACTCTTTCTCTCTCAGATCTCCCGAGCGATAACTCACAACCTCGATCGTCGATTATAGGACGCGACGTACTTCCCTTAAAAAAAGGATATCCTCGTGTCGCTTGAACGCCGCTTGTCGTCGGTGCTCAAAGAATTTGCGGAACACGCGGGTCGTCGGGGATCGTCGCGTCGGATCGAAGAAGCGGTCTCCGCGGGCGCGTTCATAAACATCCGAATATTCCCGTTCGATTTGCAAGCGCATAACAGATTCCTGCGGGATCGCTGTCGATGAACGCATCGACGGGAGCTCTGGCAGTCCCGGGCTTTCATCAGGAAACAGAGAGACCGGCGTGCATGCTGCCTGTCGGCCGTATGCATTCCACGAGGAATGCCTTTCAACCCTCGCGCGGATCCAATATCTCAAAAGAGGAGGCACCACTGACATCCACGATTCGGTCCTCATCTCTCCTCCGAACCGCCATCCGGAATGAGACGTAGGGTCGAGAGCGGATGTTGCCTCGCCGTTGACCCTATTTACGCTCGGTCAAGCAGTCCCTTCTGCTTACAGGACTACATGACACGGAAGACTAGACAAACGTACGGAAGCAACCTCGTCGTCCAGATTAAATTTGAACAACGGAGTCCCTTTGTTTTCTTGTCGCCACATCCTCAAGAAACGATCGGAGCTCACGTGATGTGGGATATTTAAAGTTCTCCGGAAGTATCACGTCATTAGTTGCGACGGAGAGAGGAAGGTTTCAATTTTATTTTATTATTATTATTATTATTATTATTATTGAGTATGGTGCAGCGTTAATTTGTGTGTTATATTAGATTAATAATGGACTGATGTATCAAACAGCTAGGCGACAAGTAATCGTTGTTAGATTCGACACATACACATATGTGAATACAAAGAAACGAAAACGTAATAATATAAAATAAAATAAAGTTTGAAATAAAATAACGATATACAATCAAAAGTTCTTTTAGAGTAAAATATCTAAAAATATAGAGTAAGATATCTAAAAAATAAAAAAATATTTATTCCGTGATACTAATAACATATTTACTTAATCTAAAATCTTTCTCTAAATTCTCTTACTTAAATAAACAGTTGCTTTCATGAAAACCCGCGGATTCAAGAAAATATATATTTTCTCATTTAAAATATTGTTTTCTTGTAAAAATACATATATTATAAACAAATATGCTATTGATGCGTGTCGAATAAATATATTTTTTATTTCTTAGATACTTTTCTCTCAGTGAACGAAATATCTTCAGCTGAAAGAGCACTGCTGCTATTTACGTTACGTCACGTACGACGACTGATGAATTGTGATTGGTGTTTCTTTGTGAAGCGAGATCAATCGTGTAGTTGCGGAACTCGATGCGTGATATTGCGCTATAATAATTCAGCCAACAGGTTTCGAAGATTAACAAACCGTTCGATATCTCGGGAACGTTTAGAACAACACTTCGATGAGAATTTGAAAAATTCTTCGGAACGACGGAGAAGGAGTGTGCTCTTTTTTTGCTCGGCTTTTTCCTACGCGAGAGATCCTTCGATCGGTTCTTTCCTCGTTTGAATTCCCTGCGGAATTATCGAAGTTACGGTACAAATACACGCGACATGCTCTGCGACCGAGCGTTCACGCTGTCGTTCAGCTCACGACCGTTCGGCATCAGTTATCGGTGGTGTCTCGTTTTTGCCTTTTCCACTCGCGCTGCGTCACATTTGTCTGCAGATTGAATCTGAGGAATCCGGCGCTGTCGGAACAAGACGATTCGATTTAAATTCCAACACCGGATTGCTCTTGCTCTTCTTCTCTCTTTCTCTCCCTCGCTCTCGCCTGCTCGTCTTCCGACTTCCGCGACTTCTCGTATGGAAAACATAACGTAAGCTTCATATATTCGCGGAGAGGGCGGCGACATATAAAACTGCTCCCGAATTTCCTCCCTGAATCCAAATCTTCCGTGTCGCGTGGAAACGACGCACCTATCGCACATGCACGGATACGGATTCCGATTTCCAACATTTGCCGGTGCGCACCGGTGTTACGACGGGAGATATTTATTGCGATACCACTTCATTTCGCTCCTTTATTTCGAACGAGAAACAGCGAGGGATTATTTCCTCGTACCGGGTAAGAGGAAGCCAGTGAGAAGTGTGTGCCGCAGTCGTGTGTAATTCCAAAAGCGATCTCTTCTCCATAATATACGAAAAATCACACGTCCGATATTTATCCTTCGCGAGATTGCAGGACGAAATTCACGTTCTTCCTAAAACGAACGTCTGCGCGTGTCATATCCACGTGGATACATACATCTACGTGGCTTACTCGCAACGCCCTTATAAGACAAAATCTTTTTCATTCTGATCCCGAGATGTATATTTCTTCGGAAGAAACGCTCACGTACATACGTATGTGTGCTACTTCGGTCCTCTACGTGCCGTACTCGCTGCCGTTTATCAAAGAATTCATACGTATTTTTTTGCTCGCCCTCTTATACATCTGGGCGAATAAATTTTGTCGCGGATTTCAACTGTGCTTTATAGCAAGATTAAAATGGGATAGACGGGACGAGCCTGCATGAAACCCACGCATCCAGCCGCGTTTAAGGGATCGCGACTTCGCGTGGCAGAGTATTTNATATATATATATATATATCGCTTCGATCGCCGAGTTTGCGACGCGGCAGCGAAAATTCACCTCCCCCCAGGCTCTTACGAGGCTGCTGCGAAAGAGAGAGAGAGAGAGAGAGAGAGACGCCGAACAAGATCTTATAAATATTCGATGAGCCACGTGACACAGAACGGATGGCTTTCGAACTACGGGGAAGAGCAGTTTTTGCAAAATCTCGTCAGGCACTAACGCGCCCGCATCTCGCTTCCTTCTGTACCGGCGGTCTCATAAACGCCGTGCTTTACTCCGCCGAAGGTTGTTCCACGTTCCTGCTTTCTCGGACGGTTCGACGGGCTCTTCCGACGGGATAAAGAGGACGATCCCGTGGGAAATAAGATTCAGTAATGCAGCACCACCACTCACGTAAAGCTAACCCGCGCGAACGGGCGGAACTTTACGAATCGCAGCGCATTCCGAGTTCCATCCGGCGAGATAGCGCACTTTTCGTCACCTCCATATCCGTTGCCGTGGAACGCTAATTGAAACATACGAAAAGTACCGCTACGATTATCGTGTTATACGTAACGCACACGTAGCGTTGATATAATGAAACACGGCGGGCCTGATTTCCCCGAGTAAACAAAAAGGTTTCCTTAGATTCAGTATTTTTATTTATTTGACTGAAATTTGATTAATGGAAACATCATACACTTACCTGAATCTGGAAACCTCATTTTGGAGATTTACAAGTCGATATTATCTTTGCGTTATGCTCGAGCGTAATTTTACGACGATCTTATATCACGCATGCATCGAATTTATTTCGGAAGCCGCCGGCGTATCTAACGAATAAAGCGAGAAATGCCGTGAAGTTCTGGGATTTGTCAGTAGGTAACGAAGTAGTTGTTCATCCGAACATTCTCGAGCCATCGTGAAGTTAAGGTAAACACTGTTAACCTCCGATATATGTGCTCCGAATTCCAATGCGCCCTGTAAACTCGCGCTTGAAACTTTCGCTCATTCCTGAAAACACACTCGTGTGTCTTCCAGTAGTTAGGACTTACAGATTATATGAATTTCAAGTTCACAGTATTTTCAAACATTCCCCTTAAATCCCAGTCAGACGATGGAGCACATTGCGATCCGAAAAACGAGTCATGCTCGAAGCTTTCGTGCGATGTCACGAGAATCGCAACCGGCTACGATATCACACGACAGTCCTGAATCTTCGGATTCAATCTCAGAGTTCTATCACAGTGATCACGACGTGTCACAGTGAAATTCGAATTTACAGGCTGTCGAGTGTCGATTGATATATTGCATTTCGGAAAAAAAAAAAGAAATAGGAAGATAGGGATTAGAAGTAAAATATGCAGTAAACAATTTCGTGTTATAAAAATAGTCCGTTGAAATTTTATGTTACTTTAACACGGGGAATGTGTTAAACAATACACAAATATGACGTTAAATTAACACATTCATCTTATCAACATATATTGACAAGATTTACTTGTGTTAATTTAACATTTTATTTGTGTACTTCTTAATATTGTATATTTTTTAACACATCCTCTCCGTGTCGAAATAATACACAATATTTGCTATAACATTGTCTATAGCCAATCATATTTTTATTTCTGATAAATATCTGCCGAGGAATATTAGAATAATCCATTTTATTTGGATCAAGTAAATATTACTTAAATGTAATACTTTCTTCTTTCTCAATGCGAGTGTTGCGTAACCAAAAAATTTACCGGCCGAAGTGAACTATTCACAAGATTTTTATTCCGCAACGTTTCTCAAGTTTCCGACGGTTTCAACGGTCAATGTTTACAGGAAGTCGTTAGACGAGAGCGATGTTCGCGTAATAGGTCTTGAAGTGCGGAGTAGATCCTTCGTAACCCGGCAACGTCGACGACGGTGTTTCGTCCAGTCTACAGACGTCGCGTTGATAGTTGTGCTACCCGTATCTGCCCCATAAAATCTTCGTGAAACGTGGCTTTCCGTCTTGAGCTTTTAGCGAAGTTCTTTAATCTTGTTAAATCTTTCCGCCGGTCCGACGGATCCGCAATACACGGAAGGAATTTGCCGATCTGCTCCCTACCGGCGATTAACCTGAGTTCATTCTGCTTTCACTTCGCAGACTCGGAATACGAGGAAGAGCAAACACCGAGATACAGACCGGACTCTTTGGCGAGTCTTTGTCGAGCCACCAGATTCACGGAGGCCGAGCTGAAGAGGATATATCGCGGCTTCAAGGCTGAATGTCCTACGGGAGTCGTCAGGGAGGAAACTTTCAAGTGCATCTATTCGCAATTCTTCCCCCAAGGAGGTGAGGTCAGATTTTAGATACAGCGATATCCCCGTCGTGATAAATGATTCCTCTATTAAGTAGTAAAAGAAAATGGGACATCGTTCGCTAGTATGAAGAAAGATACATGAAGTGTACGAAGTTAGCGAACTGTTAAATACACCTTCCGTTGGGCTTTCCATCTAAATTACTCGCACTACTCATTACGCGTGTGTGCGTATGTGTTGGATGAAAGTTTCGTTAATAATTGAGCTTATCATCCGGTTCCTCGACTCTCACGTTTCAAAGAAAACGGATTATTAAGAGCGACTTTGCGCCGTGCGTATTCAGTCGCCGCATTTGAAGCTGCGACATCAAAGAAAATAGAGAGCTCGCGCTAATTTTTATCTCTATTTTCGATCTTTTATACGATACGTCAGACGGATCTCCCTTTTCCACGCGACAAAAGACGCGGACACGCAGTAACGCAAAGTAGTTAGCGTACGAGAACGGTTTCGTTACGCTATCATGGTCACGTGGTTGAAATATTTATGCAGAAGGTAACACTCTGCGCGTTCTAATTACTTTAGATTAAAAAATTAAATGGGTCAAAAAAGTCGGTATACTTCCGATCGTTAAAAAACTGAGACTGACTATTGTTCTCGCGAACTCGCATTTTTACCGGCGTCTGATAAATATTCCAAGGAATCTCACGATGAAATTTATAATTAGCGGGAATAATGGTGCGGCCTTTCTTTCGTTCCTCCTAAATACGCGCTCCTCGATAACGATTTCCCCGACACGCGGCAGGGAAGAATTCCGCAGAATGTCGAGGAAACGTTTATTTTACCGAGGCAAAAAGGACTAACCATCGCGGATATATATATATATATATATATATATATATATATATATATGTATATATATATATGTGTGTGTGTGTACCGTCCGGTTTATTTATTCGCCGCACCCATTTATTCGCATTTAAATTTCCTCGTATCGCAACGGCAACATCGAGGATGCGTCGAAGAGTATCAACATAGGGAGGAAAAGGGAACAATCAAGCTGCCTTCGCTGAACGCGATTGCAGTAGCCATGGTAACGAACTCCGAGATCAAAAAGGCACTGCGTTTCAAATGTTCTTTTTTATCCAACTGCATGAGAAAGAGAGAGAGAGAGAGAGAGAGAGTCATCCATGACTACGCGCGCTCCGTGCATTAACGCGAAGCAATTTTCGGAAGCTACGTTTAGTCTTATAAACGCGCTATAATTAGAATCGATTAACTTTGTTACGGCGGTATCAAGCGCTCTACCGTTTAGCCGAATGCTTTGTCGCAGGGAAAGGAAAGCTTATCGCGTATTTTCTCACAGCTCGGAGTCCCGTTCGTTCGTTGCATCTTCTTTAATCGAGACGGCCCGATGTTTCGTTGCGCGACTTCGTCACGCGAATCATTACGTCTTCGACTTCCATCTTCGTCGGCGTGAATCGGATAGCCGGAAAGAAACGAAAGCACCGGGAGTACTTTCGAACCGCAAAACGCATTCATTTCCGCATAAAGCCCTTCTGAACGCAAACCGTGGCACAAACTGACTGCCGTGCTCTCGCATTGTTACGAAGGAGACCGGCGGAACCCATGATAAAGATTTACCCGTGTCGCATTTTTGCGCTTCAATATCGGTGGGTTACTAAAACGTCACGGTATAAAAAAAAAAAGAGAAAGAGTGAGAGAGAAGAGAGCGACGGGCTTTTCGGAGTATTCATCGGTCGCAGTATCGTGAGGCGTTTAAAGCTTCCCGTTGTCGACAAACTCCTCCGCGCCGGAGGTTTCATAGCCACGGGCTCGCGCAGGGTCGCGTCGATATCATGATTTGTTCGTCGCTCGGCGTAAAAGGCGGGTCGAATGCGAATTTACGAGCGATCGAGCCCGAAATCCTTGGGAAAAATCGCGCCCCCCCCCCCCC